TGAAACCATTTTTCAGTGTTCTGGGCCAGAATTGCTTTACTGGAGGGAGACATTACTGAGAAGTAGAAGTGAATACGAGGGCAGAAGCTGGAACTGGGACTAGGTGGGCTCTGGGTGTTTGCTCACATACAGTGAAGAGAGAGGGGTGGTTTGTAGAAAGTCCAGGGAAGAATTTCTGGGTGGTGGCATATGAGGAAGGAGAAGTCAGGGCTCTCACCTCCAAGCCACAGTCTCTATTGCTGAGGCAGCACCCCCACCAGATAGGAGTTTTCCTGGACTAGGAGGCTGGGGCTGTGTCCTTTTACAATATGGTTGATGGGTCCCACATTTATTCTTTTACTGAAATCACCTTCTGTGGGATCCTCTGTCCTTATTTTAGCCTTCAGGGTGCTGGCACATCTATAACCATCTGCTTAGCTTCAGATCACACTGAAAACAGTCCAGATTCTTCTCCAAAGACATTTATAACTCATTTAATGAGTTGTGATATGGATGTCCCCCAAGAAGCTAACTCTCTATTACCTCCCTAAGAAGCGAAGTGTCAGCACCTCTGCTACCTCCTTTCAGGCTTCTCATAGGTATGTTCTCCAAGAAAGCTGTCCATGTGTGGAGAGCTGGTCATTTTCACTAGGTATGATTTCAGCCCCTTTCAAGGAGTGAGAGGCAGAAAGAGAAATGAGACAACTGAAAAATATCTGGGGGCATTTCCTCCAGTATTACCTTTGGGGAAATCCAGTCTCTTTTTGAGGAGCAATAATTTGTCACAAAAAAACTCCAAACAAATGCATGGCCTCCCTTCTGTTGTGATGCTCAGTATGTATTGAAGTAAATATTTTCACAGCTACATTTAAAAGAAAATTTCTCTTCTTACTATTTTTGTTATCAAATATGGAGGAGGCGGTGGTGTTTGAAGGGATGGGTCACAATTGAGCGAATTCTCAATACGTGTTACTACTGTTGGAGATACACAGAAATCTGTTCAAGTCTTTTGAAATTTAGTAGCTCAGCTTGCCCTTTCTTCAGGCTCTAGTGTCCATTGACGTCTACACTTGGGCTTTGCCAAGGGGTGGGGAGGACTGATATATAACTATAATCCATTTGAGCAGGAGCCCAAGCTTTCTGGGAGGGAAGAGTCCTTTTCTTTAGAAAAAGGAATTGATGTTGCAGTTCATGTTCTCAGAGAAAAAGAGGTCAAATAGGAATGAAGAAACATCTACAGCCTTGATGGAGAAAGAGCCATTGCTAACATTGACAATTTTTTTTTTTTCTTTCTGACCATGTACTTCCCACTGTTGAGGGTTTCCTTTGCCTTTGGTGCAACTAAGCCTTCTCCAGCAGTTTATCACCAAGCTTATGTCTTCAAGGATATAAAATATGAGCTTCTCCTGTTAAATAAGCCTTCTCTTCCTGGCAATAGAAAAGATCCATTTAGATTCTTCTACAATCTTAACAGATCTTTAAACCACAAGTCCCTTTAATAACCTCTCTTGGAAGATGTATCTCCTTAGCAAAATGTCCCTGATACACCAAGTGGCAAAGCCAGTATTTGAACCCAGGAAGAATAAATCCATAGCCTAGAATATTGACTTCATGACAGTAAAGGGAGGGCTTATATAACAAGCAAGAAATAATAAAGGGCAGGAGAGAGGTAAATGAACATTGAACAAATATTAGTAGATATAATCAAATGGACATGGTGGATGAGGAGGGATTTCTGGACATGAGAATCCTATACATGTTCCTTGTACAACAAAAAGGAACTAATGGGATTGGCACTATAATATAGAACAGGAAGGATAATGAGTTCAGTTTTGCATATTTTACTTTTGTTATATAATCAGGATATTCAGCATGAGGTTCCCAAATGAGTTTTTAGTATCTCTTCTGCAGGAACTAAATTCATATTTTGTTCTACAACAGGATTCCTCCACCTGTCACTTCTCTACTCATTTTAATGAGTTTTTGCTCTTCTAAACTTAGGGATTGGGGAGCATAGGCTGGAGGCAGGCAATGAAAGAAAATATGAAGGTAGATGGTCTATTGGAATCAGAGTTGTAGACATGTCAGGGATAACATCTTCCATCATGTCCTCATCTCTAGCTGTGGGTAAATCAACAAGCAGTGAAGGGTTTCCAAGTAGCCCATGGTTTCTGGCAAAGTAATGACCTTGAATCCACATCTGACTCCAATAATTAATTCTTTATTGCTGGACTACTCTGGCAATCTCATTTTGAGTAGAGTTGAGTAGAGATCATAAAGATATGATAAGACATTCAAAAAGCAAAGATATTTCTCCAGAATAAAGAAATACCTTAGGGCAGGAATTATCTTATTAAGCATTTTATCTCTAGGGCCTAGCACAGTTCACTCTACAGATAAGGCATTCAATAAATATCCTATTTATGGATCTATTCACACATTTCACAAATGTTTATTGATCAACTAATATATGCCACTTTTCTAGGTTGTGAGGATACACAAAAAAGAAGAATATCACTGTCCTAATGGAATTTATAGTCTACTGACAAATGAGGAAAAAGTCCTGCAGGGAGGTTAAGAAATTTAGTCTCTCTAGTGCTATTCCTTGAACCTGAGGTCTATCCAATCATACATCTATTCTGAGAGTTGCCATGCCATGTTTTACATGACTACAACCAGCTGTCTATGCATCAGGTGTGAGAGGAAACTAGATTCTTGAAGGGCCAATCCAATTACTCACATATTAGCCACAGCGACTATTTGGTGATTGGGGCATCTTACTCAAGCTACCAATCATTCTCCTTCCCTATGGTTTTTCTAACTGGAATTGGAACTGAGAAAGTATATTAATCCCCAATTTGGGGAGCTAAAAAAAATATGTTTCTTAATATATAGTGAAAGAATTTGGCTGATAAAAAAACACATATTCATGAGACTTTCCTAGGGAGATCCTATATAGTTATATTTTGGGCCTGCACAAGCACACAAGTCTAACAAGCAAAGAATTTGATTGATTAGGAAGGAAGACTCAAAAAAGAAAAAAGAAAAAGAAAAAGGAAAAAGACAGTTAACCTTCTGACATTATTAAATAAAACACTTTTAATTACATTAAATCAAAATAAACATCAAACTTATATTAAGGCAAAGCTAGCATATTTACTAATAAATTTGTCTTCAAAAACATAAGGGGTATATAAGATATATAAGTGTATATCTATGTATAAAAATTGTGTAACTCATTTGTCAAACCCCATAGAATGTACAACACAGAAAGTGAACTCTAATGTAAACTATGGACTTAGTTGAAAACAATGTATCAACATTGGTTCGTCAGTTGTAACAAATGTACCACACCAATGCAAGATGTTAATAATAGAGGAAACTTTGAGGAGAGAGATGAAGGATATGAGAATGCCCTGGATTTTCCACTCAATTTTGCTGTAAACTTAACACAGCTCTTAAAAAATATTTTTAAGTCTTTTATTTTTTTTAAAAAAAGGAATGAAGAACTGGTACATGCTACAACATGGATGAACTTTGAAAACATTATGCTGAATAAAAGAAGCCAGACACAAAAAATCCATGTATTTTATAATTCTATTTATATGTAATATCCAGAATAAGCAAATTCATAGAGACAGAAAATAGATCAGTGGTTGCCAGGGGGTGAGGAGAGGGAAAAATGGGTAGTGACTGCTTAATGGTTATAGAATTTCATTTTGGGATAATGAAAGTATTCTAAAACTGGATAATGATGATGGTTGCACAATATTGTGAAGATATGAATACCACTGAATTGTACATTTTAAAGTGGCTGAAATGATGAATTTTATTATGTGTATTTTCCCACAATTGAGAAAATTTAAAAACTAAATAAAATAACTATGTAAATATTTGTGGGAGAATAATACATAAATTTGTGAGTTTAAAAATAGAGAAAAAATACTATGACCTGAAAGAGAAACTCCAGAATGCTGTAGATAAGTCATCTTTAAAGGATAGCAATAACTGTCATATCTGAGAAGGCAGCAGAGTGTCACTTTCAGGTATTCCTCATTCTCACTTCAGAAGATATTAAGACTTTTTCCACATCTTTTTTCACATTCTTTTTTCCACATATAGTTTCTCTTCTTCAATTCATTACAACTTTAAAATATTTTTACTAAGTGTTGCATTTATTGCTTATGTTTATTCATTTTATAATTACTAATTTTAAATTGTGTGCTTTGTTTTATAAAGATAAAATTGACATTTTCATATACATGATACATAATTTTTCTCTTGGACTAGAATTTCTAAAAATTTCCCTCACGCCACGTCCTCTATTAACTTTCTGAAAAAGTCTGAAGCAGGGGTTCCACAACCCCCTGAAAATATGATTTTCATGCTGTATTTTCTCTTGCTCTGTTTTTTAACTATAAGTTTCATTTTCTCAGCCTTACTTGGATAACTAATGGTCACCTTCTTAAAGAAACTGATCAAATACTCAATCATTTCTTGCATTTCCTCATCTAGGCTAAATTGTATTTCTCATTGGACTTTCCAAATGTCTTTGGTCATCAGATATCAGACTCTGATCAGTAGGATATCAGAAATCTTGGATAAGATAGGTCTCTGTAGCAATCAGTCTCCAGGTCAGATTTGAAGCCTGAGTGAAGTTAAAACACTCTAGATTTGGTATTTGGATGATTGTGTGAGTCTCCTTCAAGCAGTTGGTGAAAGGAAAAAAGATCTGGCACTTGGAATATAATACTGGTTTCCAGAATCCAAGGTTGATATTTTCTTTGGAGGTATTGCAGAGGCCCCCCTGGGTATAGGAAAGATGTCAGGAAAACCTACAGTAGGGGACCAAAGAATGAAGAGGGGGTGTCCCGTTTCTGAGAGGAAAATTTGGGGGAAGGTGTAGGTAGGGTACTTGCTGGTCATGTTAGAAAAGAAGAGGTGTCCAGAGGCATAGTCAAGGGAGAGTGTGACCTGTCCTGGGGCCATCTTCAGGGAGAGAAGGTTTGGAGGAGAGGTAACGGCTCATTATTCATTCCATAGCAACCAATTACCTGAACCCATTCTCAGGTGACACAGAGGTAACTCTCTCACAACACGGTCCTTGGTAACACCTGGGACCCATTCTGTCCTGTCCCCAACCTCCACCTCTCAATACCACCTCCCTGACATGAGCCTCTCCTGGCCCAGGACATTGAGGAAGCCATCAAATCTCTGTGGGACATCTGGCTCAATGAATGTCCATGGGTCACACACTTGTTTCCCTCAGAAAGGATCAGTTCTGGGTGACCTATATTTGGATCCAGTGTCTCATTCACTGTAGAGAAAAAAAATCTATTCTGATAATAATCAATATGAGAGATATTAAAAATATTAATTTCATAATATTAACATCCAAAGAGGCAAACAAAAGTTACAGTGACAAGAAATTTAAAGTGGAAGAACTTTCTAGCACATGCAAAACAGCATCTCTATCAATATGTGAGAAGTCCTGCACTGGCAGAGCAGGAATAACCAATAAGCAAGTCACCATATTTTCAAAGATCTTAGTGGAATGTTCATGCCAACAGAATTGCAGTTAAGTCTCAGGTCTCAACCTTCAAAGCAAGGATGACTATGCCACCAGCATTTTTTCTTCCTCTCCCTTAACTAGATCACTTGGGAATGTGCACTAGGGGATCAAATTACTGTCTTTTAATCCCTTTGCTTCTATTATCACTGTAAACTCTGATCTCATTCAGCACTGATCCTCGATTACATGAATGTAAGCCATGTTCATGTTTCATTAACTATGGGACATTCACTGAATGCCTGCCGTATGAGATTGCTGAAAAGAGAGGCTAGGGAAAGTGCACAGTAAGTTTCCCACTGCAAAGTGTGCTCCACACTGTGTCTGTTTACCTGACTTACCTTTTTTACAGCTCTTTCTCCTGATCAGGCCTGCAGTCCCAGCAAGAAGCAATCCCAAAAGAAGGAGTATTTTCCATGAAAAAATCATCCTGGACTCTAAAATGGAAACCCCAGAATCTCATTAAATCACGAAACTGGAAAAATTTCAAGATAGTCCTTTTCATCTAAGCAGCTCCTGGGCTAGAGAGGAGGATGAGAACTGGGCCTCTCAGAGAGGAAGTTGGTCTGCTCCTCCCTGCTCTGCAGAAGCTGAGGAGAGACTAGAAGTTTATACTAGCTTTGCTGTTTGCTCCTCTCAGAAATACACACACACACACATTTCTTCCCCTTCTCTTTTCCACTTATATCACCACAATCACTGGAATAACAAGGGTGGCAAAAAGATAAAACTACCCAGTCCCCAGCTATGCAGATGGTGTTAAGGAAAACTAGTTTCTAATCCAGAAGAAAATCAACCAGGAGAAAAAAAACAGTGATGTCATTGTTTTCACATCAGAAGAAAAGAGTTTGTAGATAGAGTGACAATAGAGTCAATTCTTAGAATTTAGTATATAACTACGTAACGATGTAACCTTAGGGCTTTAGTTGGAGATGTCAAGGAGAAACTCAGAGCAGTGGGATCTCTAGCTGTCCTGAAGACCACTTTTACCAGAGGAGCAGGAGACTTCATTGGAAAGAAAAAATAAAAAGTAGAAGAGCAGTCAAATGAGTAAATCTGGGTTGGTCTTCATATTTATTTTCCGAAGATGAGAAGAGTACGTGGAGTCACCAACTTGAGAGAGAAAAAGTTGCCATTTTCTCCTCGCCAAGAAGGGGATTGCTGGTGGAGCAGGTCACATTCACAACAGAGCTGTTTGTGACCAACAGAAATGTCTTCACATGGAACAGCCCATGGCTGCCTTGAGTCAGGCATGGTATGATGAAAATGATGGTATTGTTTTTCCTTCCATGTCCCTCCACTGCACATGGGCCATGGGAACCGCTCTTCTGAAGTTCACATCACCTGTGTCCCCATCAGTCCCTCCATGGTGATCAGCGGGGAAGAACCCAGTCCTGGGGGATAGAGATCAAGGAATGAAACTTAGAGTCTCTGCAGGTGGTCATATGGTGAGTGACTTCACTGAGAGGGAAGAGGGGGATTCAGAGGCTTGGGGAAGAGAGCAAAGTTGGTGGGGGAATCACACTCCACTTAGGGATGAGACTAGCTGGAGTGGTTTCTTGTGTCTTTTTTTTTGTTTTTCTTTTTTATTTTTTTATTGAGATATAATTGACATATAACATTATATTAGTTTCAGGTGTACAACAGACTGATTTGAAATATGTATATGTTGCAAAATGATGACCATAATAAGTCTAATTAACATCCATCACCACACAATTAAATTTTTTTTTCTTGTGGTGAGACCTTTTAAGATCTACTTTCTTTGCAACTTTCAAATATACAATGCAGTATTATTAACTATAGTTACCATGCTGTACATTATTCCCCCAGGACTATTTGTTTTATAACTGGAAGTTTATTTTGTTTTGTTTTCTTATTTTTATTATTATTTTTTATATTCCTAAAATCATCCTGGGGGGCCGGCCCCATGGCTTAGTGGTTAAGTGAGCGCACTCCGCTACTGGCGGCCCGGGTTCGGATCCTGGACGTGCACCGATGCACCGCTTCTCCGGCCATGCTGAGGCCGTGTCCCACATACAGCAACTAGAAGGATGTGCAACTATGACATACAACCATCTACTGGGGCTTTGGGGAAAAAAAAAGGAGGAGGATTGGCAGTGGATGTTAGCTTAGAGCCGGTCTTCCTCAGCAAAAAGAGGAGGATTGGCACAGATGTTAGCTCAGGGCTGATCTTCCTCACAAAAAAAAAATAAAATCATCCTGGGACAGATTAAGGGACATAATAAATTTCAAGACCAATCTTTTTCCTTCTATATCTTATTTTGACCAGGGCATGGATCACATGGCCAGGATAAAAGAAAGTAAGAGAATATTTTCAAAGATCAAAATTTTATAAATATATATGTCTAATGGCAGAAAATGATGGAGTCCATTTAACTTCTTGAAATGTCTTTCTTTGGATATTTCATTAATATGCTTATTAATTTAGACACAAAATCAGTGGGAGAAACAAGTAGATCACCCAAGATTTGGGCCTATGTCCTCAATGGCATTTACTAACCTTGGAAAATGAATTCTAACTCAAATATAGACAGTGGGAAATTATGATGCAGGGGGCAATTTTGTCTTTCCTCCTCCATCCTGTCAATATTGTCAATAGTTATGATTTTTGTTTATATGTTGGATTTAGTTTAGTCTTAAAATCATTACACTTCCTAGTAACTACACATTTACCAAAATTTCAATAACACAAATGAGTGAAGTAATGAGTCTTGTGTAAAGTTATGGAGCAAAATTCTCAGATTTCACTAAATGTATGGTCACTTTTTGGAGATCCTGGGAAGGATACAAATTCCATACCCAAAGAGTGAAGTCTGGTCAATTTGGGTTCATGGACTTTAAGAGTCTACAACAGTTCCTGCACATTGGAGGGTTCAATATAAATTTGGTGAGTGAATGGGCATTAAGAAAACTACAGTTACCGGAGAAATTTTCTAGGAACTGGCATGTTACAGCAGTAGGAACAGATGTTGAATACAAAACATCATCTAGAATCCTTACCTACTATCTTCAGATCCAAACTGGCCTCCTGGTAGACACCATCTTTTTCAAAAAGGCACCAATACTGCCCATCGTCTGAAGTTCTGGCATTGTGTATCTGCAGGGTCAGTCTCCCCTCATTGATGGCATCACTCACCAATGCTGTCCTCCCTCTATATTCTGCCATCTGCTCTCCATCCACATGGTCCTCATCCATATACACATAAACAGCAGGATAACGGTGGGATCGGACCCACCTCACCTCCATGCTTTGTGCATTAGCCTTGGGGGACAGGTATCAGGTTAATTGGATGTCTTCTCCCACTCTGACAAGGATGGGCTGGGAAGGTCCAATCACTTTTAGGGAAGCTATTAAATAGAACAGACAAAACACAACAAAAGACTCACAACAGAGAAAATAGTGTCATCAGCAAGAACATCTCCAGTGCAGTTTAGAACCCAGGGGTATCTCAGGGGAGCTGTGAGGCTCAAGGTCATCCTTTGGAGAGGGAGAGGTTTGGTGAAATCAGGATAGGGGTTGTCCTGTTTCAAGGCAGAACCATCCCATGATGTGTGTCAGTTGGAAATAAAAATCACTAATGTAACCCATACCTGCCCTTACCTATCATTTTATTCAGATTACAGCCCAATAAAATAATTTTGCAACTACAACTCCCAAAATATAATTAACACTTTATCACTTCAGATATGCATGACCTTAAACTATTTCTTAATCTGTGTATGCATGAGTTTCTTAAACTGTAAAACAAGTATATCATTATCAAAATCATAAAATTGTTCTGAATTTAAATAAAATAATCTATGTAAAGCTCTTGGATGACCATGCAATATGAGTGGAGGCATGTAGACTGAGACTTGAGGGCATGGGAGCCAACGCCACCCTCTGCTTTGATAATGGGAAGGGGATGAAAATGAATCTCATGTGAATTTTTAGTAATGAAACGTGAAGAAACCTTCCCCTAGTTTGTTTCTATAATACCTTATGTCAGATCCAGCCACCATATTTCAGTTGCCCAAGGTCCCACATATGTGGGGCTCTAAACACACACCAGGTTCAATGTCCTCAGATCATTTTTGAGAAACAATATAAGACCAAGATTGGAGAGGTTGGAAAAATACAAAACAATTATGAATCACAGAAGGAGTCTAATCCTCCCATTGTGGAGAATGAACCCTCTGAGGCCTTTCCTGGATCCAAGCTATTTTACACTTTCCGTTCTTATCAGGCCCTAGCCATGCCAATTTTTCTCTATTCTAAATTGAGAGTCATCCTTTTCTATAAAATAGTAAGAATGCTTTCACACATGTTGTGATCATTTATAATAGAAATCCAGGAATAAGTTTGTATATTGTCTGTATGGCAGTCAATGCCCAAAGGCAAAATGTTCTCATGGTATATTTAGCCAAAATTTGCTGGGTATTTCTCTAGGGAGGAAACTCACTGTCAACACAATTCTAATTTTCAGATTATTCCCTTCTATTCAGCTAAAATTTGACTCCCAGTTATTTCTAGCATTTTGTTTACTTTGTCCTTCAATTTTACTGAAAACAATATTGTCTCCATTCCATATGTATCCATTAAAATCTGAAAATAAAAGTAGGAGTCAGAAAAAATGAACTAGGGTTTAGTTTGCTGCTATTTCTCCATCCATGTGTCTTAAAGTAAATTATTTAATGAAACAGACTGTTTCCTTGTCTCTATTACCCATTGGAAATTTTTTTTCCCCTGTCCACAACCTATGGTACATATCAAATCTCAAACTGGATTACCCTGTCAGACACAGGTTAATTAAGAGCTAAAATTGATTTTAATGGCAACTAAAGAAAGCAAAATATAAATAGGGAGATTTAATTAATTAGGTGCCTTATAAATATATGAAATCATGTTTTTCTGGAATCCAAGTAAAAATAAGGTTTAAAGTACTAGAAAAAATCATGCAGCCCTATTTTTTAATAATTAATGTTCTACTGATATATGAGCTCTTTGATAATCTCCTTTTACTATACAGTTTTGTATACAGACTTCCACAAAATTTGTGCTCACATTTATTGTTTTGTTTCATATTTGAGTTACTGAAATGCTTTCTGAATATCCACTGAAAAATTAAATCATTTATGGAGTGTGAAGTACACGGAATTATACACTCATTCCTTAAAACCTGATAATCTCATCATCATACCATATAATCCTCCTTCAATCAGCATATTCAATTAAGTGGGCTATCTCGTTCCCCAAATATGCTATATCTTATCCTATCATATCGTATCATATCTAGACTCATAGAACCTGACACTACATTAGAGATTAAATTCAACATCTTCATGTTAACGATGAAAAAAATAAGGGCTGGCCCAGTGGCGTAGTGGTTAAGTTCCCCCACTCTGCTTCCAAGGCCCGGGGTTTGCAGGTTCAGATCCCGGGTGTGGATCTACACACCACTCATCAAGGCAGGCTGTGGCGGTGTCCCGTATACAAAATAGAGGAAGATTGGCACAGATGTTTGTTCAGGGCCAATCTTCCTCACTAAAAAAAAAACAAAACATGAGAAAAATAGAGACCAATGATTTACTAAAATCACACATTAGTGATTAAGAACTTGCATTCTTAAATCAGATAGACATAGATTAGAAGGCAAACATCACATTTCCCTAGTGGTTTTCGGTAAACCATGTATGTCTCTAAGATTGTTTTCCAACTGTAAGATGAGGATAAATCTATTGACTTTTGTAATTATCATAAGAAAAAAATAAAATAATTCCTGTAAAGCAGTTAGCATAGTTCCTGGCATATAATTAATATTTCAAAAAATTAGTCATTATTTTTATAAACCAATAACATTATTTGTCAGAGTAGGAACCAGGACTTTTCTAGAGACCTTAGTTGCCAGCTGGCCCTTTGTGGTGGGACCTTGCCTCTGAGAACCAATTCATGAGGATAATACAGAGGTGGCTGTGAAGCTCCTGGTCTCCTCAATCAGCAGCACACCCTCAAAGCTCCTGAGGGCACAGCCCTCCTCCCCTCACCTGACAGGGAGCCAAGGGAAGCTCTGTCATTTTATCTTGTTTTATTGTGGTTCCAGAAGGTCAGCACAACTAAGGAACACCATAACATTGGATTGTATTTTGTGTGCTGGGTCTCCATTGGGCACGTCATGTTGGTTGAGATAATTCAGAGGAGTGACTTTAACCTAAAATCTTCCTCAGGGACAGAGACATTTGTCAACCTGCCCCAAACACTGGCTTGACTTTCTGATCTGTAACTAACAAGCTCTGCTGGTTAAAGTTTCTGTCCAATCATGAGCAGATGCCACCCCAGGCAGAAGGAGATCCGACTTGGAAGATAAAGCTCAGAGGTGTGTAGCTCTCCTCAGATTGTGGAGTTACCTTTGACTTTCCCGAGGCCCTTTCCTTTATCTTTATGGCCCAATGGGGTCGAAAGTGTCACACTTGACTCTGGCAGAGATTGGGGTGTGTCTGTCACCCTGATTTTCCTCAAAAACTCCTACATTGGCTGAAAAGTGTGCTAAAACTCACCTAATGTGCACATATGCACACGCACACATTCCTGTAACAGGTAACTTGAAGGAGAGCAGGGTATTGATGGAAGGAGGAAATGAATGATATAAGTTCATATGCATCTGGGCAGGGAGCAGGCTGGTTGCCATGGGCTGGGAGAAGAGGTCACAGAAAGGAGGAAGATGGTAAAGGAGAAACCAAAAGAGGCTCAAACATCAGTTGGTTATTTTTTAAGCCACTTATCTGAGGTACAGTAAAATAATACCTGCACTCTAACTATTAAAAAAAAAAAGAAAATTATCCACCCAGGTACAAGGTCCCAGGCTGCATCTGGCAAAGTAACAGCTCTGTCGCGACAGAGAGATTAGGGCCTACAGGGGTGAGGAACAGGTGCAGAACACATAGCAGGGCAAGAGGGTGGAGGTGGTGGGTGGTGACCTGCAGTTATCATAATGATACTGCCCTCACTCACACTAGAAACTCACACTATGGCCTCCAGAACCCAGCCAGCTGTCCTGTGCCATCCCTTACACAGTCCAAAGGCAGCTCCCTTTCCTCCTGCCCAATAGGGCAGATTACATCTGTGCTCCTTATAGTTGTCCATCTGAGACTCACTGGGGTCCCCGTGAACACTGAAAGTAGCAGGTTACACAGTGTGAATGTGCCAGAAGGAGGCTGTGGAGGCCTGTGCTTTGCCAGTCCCCTCTGGTATTAACTGAACTTGAAACTTGGTAAACTCATGCCTCAGTTGCTCATCTGGATCATGAGGTGTCTCGGTGGCTCCCACCCACTTTGTCCAGGGAGCACTGCCTCCCTCGGGGCAGGGCCGAGGCTCATCTACACTGGTGCATGCCGTCACGTCTACTTACCCAGCTCAGTCTGGAGTTTCTCCGGAAAAAGAATGAGAATAACATATTAAGGAATTTGGTCTAAGGGAAAGGAGAGAAAATATTTCAAAAAAATAAAAGCAAGTCCTATATTTTATTGGGAAACTTGATTCGTAAAAAAGAAATTAAGCGCAGAAAAGTATTAATTCTTTCCCGTGCATCACCTGGTGAGCCAGCTGCTTTTCTTTCTTTGCACAACAAAAATGCCCTCGGTTCTGTCCTTTGTCCCATGATTCTGTTTATTTCTGCTGATATTTAACATATAGATACTTAGCTATCTTATAAAAATAATACATATTCTTTTTATAAATGCATGGAAAGTATAAAAATATATGGACATAGGCAATTATCACCTAAATTCCAAAATGAGAGACAAAATATATATATATATGTTTTGCAATGATGATATATATATATACACATACCATCTATATACATATATATATACAGATGCATATACGGTGTATATAGATATATATATACATATATATAATTTGACTCTTTTTTTAACATTAACATATAACATTTACTTTTAATTTTTTCCTATATCCATTTATATGAATAAGAATAACTATATACTTATATCTTTATTTCTAAATATAGAGTGTCTCAAAAGTCTTAGTGCAGTTATAAGGCCAATAATCTTTATATGATTGGAAATGTCTATTTATAGATTAGATAGATAGATAGATAGATATAGATAGACAGATAGATAGAATCTTTACCATTGAATAGTGCATCATGAGGATTTTTTCAACCATTAAATTATTTCAAAAAATCATTTTTCATCAAGGCTATAATTTATAGTAACATAAGACACAATGCTCCACTGTTATGTTGGGTTTTTTGGCTCTTGTTTTTGTTGTTATTTATAAAAGAGACTATAATTAAGATGCTATTATATAAATAGTTGTCTCCGTCTCTGATTATCTTCATATGATAGATTCCTAGAAGTAATCGGCAATACAACATAGGAAAACATTTCAGTGGAAAGAATATGGTTTTATTTTCTTCACAATGTGATGCATACTGGTGAGTAAAGAAAATCAATGCACAAAGAAGAAAAGGCAGAACTTGAAAATAACTGAAATACCATTAACAGCTATTCAATCAAAATATAGTATAATATTTCCAGTCATAAATGTTTTATAGCTTCTAATACATATTACTAAATGTTAGAGATTTTTCTTGATAAAGAAATATTAGGTGCTATGGAACAGTCCCTGGAATCTTTCATGTTAATCTGAGCATCTTGGTCCTAGAGGCAGAGCACTGACCTGGGATAGAGATGACTGACCCCTTCTCCTCAGTGAGGACGTGGTTGTGGATGAAGCAGGACACGGTCTCTACAGAGGCATTCCTAACAACACGAGTGTCTTCCACATAGAACAGGCTGTCTTCATCTTGGATGTGATGCTCAGAGACAGTCAGCAACTCCTCTCCTGTGATGCCTTTCCAATAAACCTGGGGCTCTGGGAACCAGCCTTTTGCAGTGCACACGAGCTGGACTTCAGTTTCCACAGGTCCCTCCATGTGGATGTTAGGGGCAGACCTGGGTTAGTTGTTAGGGTTAGGAAGGAAGGAAGGAAGTCATAGCCCAGAGGCCTGGAGCCCATAGAAGCACAAATCATAGAAGCTGAGACCCCATCAACACCACTTATAGGCAGAGGGCAGGAATTCAGGGATCTGAGGAGCAGAAAGTGGTCCAAAGTCTTCTTCCCACTCAATTGTAGTTCACATGCACTTTATTTGTTCCCCAGTCTGGATCTTTAAATTTTAGTATCTGACGAGTATTTTTCTTTAGATCCAGACAGGAGAATAAGAGCAGGGAGATACAATGACAGTTTGCTTATGTCCCTAGTACTGCAAAAAAAGATGTGTTGTAGTTTATTCATGGACTCCCCCATGCTATGAACTCTGACTTTTTCATCTTAATATTATCTGTGTAAGGCGCTTTGTCTGATATTTTGACTCTAATTTAAACAGAATATTTAATATCAAGTCAGAAATCATCTCCATGGGGACTATTCTTCCCATTCCTTTTGTTGGTGGTTGTGATCTTGGGATGCAAGTAGATATACTGGAGTGTGTGAAGTAGGAAGGTCCATGAAGAGTTCTTGTTTCTAAATATTCCATTCAATGGGAAAATGCTTTTGAGAAATCCTAGTTTTATATAATCATGAAATTATTTCTCTAGTCAATGCAACTCTCAAACCCAATGGTGTCTATATTTTCCATAGATGGGAATTCTGTCTTGATCACTTGCTGAGGGACAGAGACCCTCTCACTTCACCTAAAGCCTTAGAAAATGTGTGGCTTATTTTCAAATGTCCCTAATAATGAAATGCCTTAACATGTGCCCTCCCCACTCCACATCTCAGAAATACATGGGTTCTTTCATGCATCTTGAATCACCTTGAACATAATAATAATCATCATCATCATAGTCATGAGCATTAAGAAAAAGGTGTTAGGAAACAGCCTCATTGGGGAGTAAAGAAGGAAACAGCATCAGCCAGAGATGTTAACATCTCCAGAAAATTATTTCCCTGATAAGGTAAATGGACTTGCCTGAATGTCTCTTTAGCATGTGGAAGAGTTATTCCTGCCAGGAAACCATATGAGTGTTTACTTTTCAGCTATTTGTTTTTCCTTAAGAAAGACCCTTTCTTTAGTCATCCCCTTTTTCTAGACTCTTTCCTACTTTGCTAATACAAAAGCACCACGTAGAACCTTGCCACTGACAGTGGGTATGTCCAAAAGCATCTGTGAGTCCCCAATTCATTGAACACTAATATATGATAATCTCCATGAAAGCACAATGTTCTTCCCTTTTCAGTCTCATTGCTAGCTTTCTGATTGTTTACACAAGGAAACAGTTTTCACATCTCAGTTACTGCATATTTGAGGTTGGGTAAAGAACAACTATATCCATTGAAATACATATGCTGGGCAGTCAGCTAGACTCACTCAGCAATTGACTTGCCCTTGCACACTAGCTATGTGGCACAAATTCGTGCATTAGCAAAATTGCTAATAAACACATGTCATGGATTTCAAACAATTGTCAAGAATAGTCAAAATTGTGTAAGTTAAACTTGGGAAAATTGTTTATAAGTGAGCTTGCTTTGAAGACTTCAGAACTATTTGCCTTCAAATGAATGAATCAGGATAGAGGACTGGGCATTAAGAATTGCCTTGATGATTAAAATGAAATTCTTCAACCAGCAAAAGCTTACCACACAAATTAATACACTTCTCCTTCCAAGACCCTATGTCTTTTCCCAGATACTCACCTGCTACTTTGAGCAGCAAGCTTGTTTCTCCACAATAGTTCCCCTCTTGGAAATGGCACCAGTATTGCCCACTATCCGATGGTTGGATGTTGTACATCTTCAGGGCCACACTACCCTGAGCAATGTTATCCCCTATCCATTCTATCCAGCCTCTGTACTCCTCCATCTGCAACTTGGTCACCTCAGCTCCAGCCTGGTATGCAAACACAGGCGTGCCTGGCTCTGAGCGGTACCACCTCACCTCCATGTGCATCACCGTCCTCTTGGGGAGGAGCCAACAGGTTAGTAGGCCTTCTTCCCCAACCCTGGCCAGGATAGGATGGGCAGGACCAATCACTCTAAAGTCATCTACAAAATAGAGTAAAAAAGAAGAACCAGGAAATGTCAATTGGAAGATTAACACGCTTGCTTTGGGATGCCCAATCTATCAAAATAGAGGCACCTGGAGGAGAGAGGGCTTTGTTTTCAATGTTTTAGAGAAATCCAGCATGATGATTTGCACATTTGGCTGTTACAGAAACAATTCTGTGTACTAAAAATAACATGCAGTTCAAAAATTTGAGTGTCAATTCTGAATCTGTCACTAGCTGTGTAATTTGGGGGGCAAAACCATTATTTTCAGTCAGATTTGAGATTTGGAATCTCAATTTCTTCTTATTTAAGATACTAAAATCACATCTCTGGGTTGTTTTTATTCTCAAATAAGTTAACATGTAAATTGATTTTTTTTAACTGGGAAATGTATTAGTTAGTAATTTATTTTACAGTTAGTGATTTCACTTTATATTGTTAGTGACTGACATTGTAATCACTTTTCCTAAGATTTAAGTAATATATTCATTCATTAGATTTTTTAACTTTTTGAGATTGCTCTTGTCCTAGGTAAGGAACTGAGTTTGTTTGTTTGTTGGTTTTCCTGATCTGAAGCAAGACTCCAGCTACTGGGGCTGTATGTACAATGCATTTTTTGCAAGGACATTTTGTGATAGGTTAGGGCAACGGTTTATCTAGAGTTTGAGCCTTCCAATCAAATTCTGAGTCATGTTTGACCTCTTCGTTATCTGCAAACTGAAGAAATGTTTAATAATTCTATCTGTTATTATGTTTAATAATTTCATATGTCATGTATGTTATGTTCCTTCTCATCCTAAAATGCTTCAGGGCCATTTGGACTTTGTGCGGATTCAATTCTCCTAGGAAGGAGCCTCATCTTGTTTATTTGCTGCTCAGTATCAAATAGATACTGCTAAAAGGTCACTATAGAACTTAAGCAGAGATCTGCCTGCATTCTTTATTGATGGAGTCTGACTATGACGCTAGAACTGAAGTCATACCATCTGGTTGACTTCTTTTACAGGTTAGGAAAGTGAAGCACAGAAAAGGGAGGGCAGTCTAACAACATCACACCGTTTCTGGCAGCACTCAGTCTGGAGCCTGTGCCTTTGGGTGCCCTGTGCAATGTTTCACCATCCTGCATTTTCCTTGGGGCTCTGATATTTCCTTCTAACATTGAATTTTCATAATCCTTTTTCAAGGTACAATGTTGTGTGTGTGTGTGTGTGTGTGTGTGTGTGTGGTGTGTGTGTGTGTGAGGAAGAACAGGCCTGAGCTAACATCTGATGCCAATCCTCCCCTTTTTTTTGCTGAGGAAGATTGGCCCTAGGCTAACATCTGTGCCCATCTTCCTCCACTTTATGTGGGACGCCGCCACAGCATGGCTTGACAAGCAGTGCGACAGCACGTGCCTGGGATTTGAACCTGCGAACCTCGGGCTGCCGAAGTGGAGGGTGCACACTTAACCACTTGTGCCACCAGGCCAGCCCCCAAGGTACAATGTTTTGACCAACAAAATTCAGCTACTGAAATTTCCAATTCCATTTCTTGCTTGTTGTTTCCAAGTATTTGTATGCTGTTTAATTTATGGTAAGAAGCAGTCACTTTTCTTGCCCCCAAAGTGCTGTTCTGCATAGAAGCAGGAGAATGAATGAATAACTTTATGTGTTCCAGGTACTGACTCAAGTGCAGCCTCATTTAATCCTAAAGCCTGTGAGACGTAGGTATGTCATTATTCTTATCATAAAGGTGAGGAAACTAAGACAGAAGGTACTCAAGTAACTTCCCAAAGGTAACACAGCTGGAAGTGAAGGAGCCCTTTTTGGAAGACAGACGCTTTGAACCCTGGACCCTCACTCTTAGTATTGTACTAGCCCTTTTGATTTAGAACTCTGCATCCAGACTGGATATCTGGGACATTCGGTTAAACAGTAAAGGGAAGAAGGGCATCCTACCTGACTGCTTCATGGTGAACAGTATGAAGAAGAAGGAGGCAACAGCACCAGACAGACTGCATCCTGGAAAATCCACCATTCTCCCTGGAGCAAACACAAGAGAAAATATGACATGTACCTAAGTGAGGCTGTAATACAAGCATACCCCATGGATTCCTATGGTTATGCAGTAGTAACGAGGAATCAACACCAATCACTACACAATCAAACGATGAAATGGACATGGCTCCATTTCTCTGCAGTTGTTGATCATTTCCGATCCTTTACCCAGTGTGTTATAGTTTAGGCTATTTTTTAGACCTGAAGGAAGATTTCTGATTAAAATGAAAAGCCCTCCTGGGCTAAAGGGACAATAGTATTTATATTTTTTAAGTTTCCTTTGGTCCATCCCTTTTGAACCTGCAGAAATTATAAAGCAGGCTTCAAATATTGTTTCTCATCCTCCTCCCAGTCCATCCCTCAAAGTCCTTCATCACTACAGTTTCCTAGTATAGAGGAGTGAGCAGGAAGCTCTACATCCCCATGCTGCAGCCAGGAGGCTATCATTAGTACCTCAGGGGAACCCAGGGGCAAGGAGATGCTTTAGAAAGTGAAGGAAAAAGTGGTGGAAATGGTTCTACAGAAGGAGATGGCCAAGGAAACGACCCTAAATGGCCTTTTAGAATCATCTTGAAGACATATAGGAATGAATAAAAGAAATAGCCCAACCATCAGAGATGGGCAAGCCCCACATGCCCATCTTACCAGAATTGTAAAAATACTTCCTCACAGCTAAAGAGTTTTAAAACTACCAGGAGAAAAATAGAATGCCAGCTTTAGTTTTGGAAAATGAAAAATTCAGAGTGAAAGAAGTCTAAGACTTGTTCTATCTGATGTGTCAAGTATCTTATTGAAAGAAAAACTTGCTTCATACCAAGTAGAATTGTCAGCTCAGGGGCAATGATAAGTTGGTTACTGCTTCTCTTTCCCCAGAAACTAATACCAGTAAGATTTTATAGGGTAGAGGAAAAATCAACGGTCATCTGAGATGGAGATTATGAATCAAGTGGTTCAGGAGGTTATTTTTACTCTATTTGCTTTCTAAAATGATGCATACTTTCATTTAATATAGCTCTAAGGAAGCTGATAAAAACCCAGTCACAATACCCAGATCTGAAAGGGTGCTTAAATATTTATATGAAAATGAGACTGAGCACTAGAGGACAGAACAGACTGTTAGTAGCTTGCCAGTTGAAACATATCAGTTACTTCCCTCAGACTGAAGGAAATCACCAATGCCTCCTTGACTCTTCTTGTGAAAAGCAGAAACATTTTGTTCCACCAAGGAAGGGCAAAGAGAGCCCTCAAAGCCCATGCCAATCACCATCACTGAGTCACGTGAACTAAAAAGGACACACACTTGATACAAGCGTTTATAGGTTTGTGTTCCTTTAGGTCTTTCACGTTAAAGCAGGGAGAAAACCTAGAAAAAAACTACAAATCAGTGAAGCTTTGAAGAAAGTGGTGAAAACGCATCTTAGCCTTCAGTGGTGCTCGGAGAGAGATTTGTGAGCAAGTATAAACAGGCAGAATAACTGCCTTAGACCAGGATTCTCAACGGGGAAGGGGGCAGTTTTGCCCTTGGAGGACATTTGGTAATGTCTGCAGTCATTTTTGATTATTGCAACTGAGGGGGAGGGGACATCTAATGGGTGGTAGCTGGGATGCTTCTACCCATCCTACAATGCACAGGAAAGCCCCTACAGCAAAGAATTATCCAGCCCAGATTGCCAATAGTGTTGAGGAAAAACAATACCATAGACCATCTGCTGTCAGCGTGCTGAAAATCTTTGGCAAATTTTTTGTAAATAAATAGCTGGACTTAAATTGTAAACTTTAAATCATTTCATTTTAACTGAGATTTTTGACATCTCTATTTTACCATTTGAATGTAGGCCACGAATCTTCTGAAACTACCACTAATATTAACTATGGTAAACTTTGATAGTGTCAAGAAATATGATCTAAAATGTATATATATCATAAAATTCTCAAAAACTCACGCTTCATTTAATTTTCTGGACAGAGTACAAGTGTTAGGATGTGATTATAAGTGGTGGTTTGTGTTTAGGCATTAGGTGAATCACAACTCTGAATCCCAAGGTTTATGCATGCACTCTTAAAATTCATGCCAAAAAGGCGCCAGCCCGGTGGTGTAGCGATTAAGTGCGCACGCTCTGCTGCAGTGGCCCAGGGTTTGCGGGTTTGGATCCTGGGCACGCACGGATGCACCGCTTGTCTAGCCATGCTGTGGCGGCGTCCCATATAAAGTAGAGGAAGATGGGCATGGATGTTAGCCCAGGATCCCTCTTCCTCAGCAAAAAAGAGGAGGATTGGCATTGGATGTTAGCTCAGGGCTGGTCATCCTCACAAAAAAAAAAAAAAAAATTCACACCAAAGAAAATTACAAATTACTCCATGTCATGGGCTGTTAGAATTTTATTTTTTTCAGTAAAAAAACCTCAAATGTTAAATTCTCAAAATGCCGAGTGAGCATAGTAATTAACTAATGAGAATAAATTTATTCAGTCCACGAAGTTTGAAGCTTATATATCTACATAAATTTTAAAAATAGATATAGTTTATCATATGTTAAAACAACACATTTTTATAGAAATAGAGCAAAGTAAAATAAGAGTTCTAGGAGACAAGGGGACTTTGTGTTTACTTCTGTGACCTTGAGAATCTCACTTTACTTTCTTGAACCTCTGCTTTCTCTCCTCTCTGGTGGAGACAATCATTTGTAACATTTTTCCACCTGTATCATCAACACGTGACGAACAAGGAAACCGAAGCTGAGACACAAGCACAACATCATGTGTGACAAATGAATAACGTGATACTGGTCTTCTGAGTTTTAATCTAGTGCCCTTCCTCATCCAGCCTACTTCACAGCAATAATCTGAGGATCACATGAGCTATGATAGCACTTTGAAAAACATAAAGTAGCATATGAGTATAAATACAAGGGGAGGCATTACTACAAGTGGCAAGTTTCCCTGCAGGGCACTGACTGTCTACGTGCCCCACTTGCTCAGCTTAGTCAACTCCCCCAACTTCCCCGGCCATCCTCCACCAGGGACTCCCCAAACCACTCACATCAAACCAGGGGCTGCTGGGTCTTCTCCTCACTTGGTCCCAGGTGTATCCTTCATCCACACAGCAGGTGTTTAAGGACAGGTCAGAGTCCTGGGGTGCTGACTGGAGAGAGAACTGTGGGACAGCCAGAAGGGGTGGAGGCAGCCCTCAGTCCCCCAGGCTTTGGGTGAAGGTGGATTTATGCTGCCTCACCCAAGCTGAAGGGAGAGCCATATCCCTGAGGCCTGCTCTGAAAATGAGATTCCAATCAGAATAGCATGTTCATCTCTGAGAAGTGGAACTCAGATGACAAGTGGACTTTGACTGGGTTTAGTTATAAGTTCTTGAGACCTGCAGCCAAAACTGTGACATTAGCACTGCTCACCCTTCCCCAGAAAACCAGGGCACTCATGCTGTCCCCAGGTGACACCCTGTCTGCACCACTTCCACTTAGGTCCTCACACAGCATCTCGTGCTGGTGATCTGTCTTTACCCTTCCCTCTACCTCTCCACACATCAAGGATTTCCCACCTAACGCCCAGTCTCCTCCAGAATACGGTACTCACAGGGCTTAGACTCAGAAGCAGGACTGAATATAAAATACCACATCCCTCATTTCACTGATGAGAAAACAGAGGCCAGATAAAGGAATTAACTTATCCAGCATCATAGCACCAGGCCAATGTCCCTTGCATGCTAGTTTATTGCTTTTTCCTTTGGTTATTTATCTCCTTTTATTGGGTAATAAAGAGTTTGATTACTCTCAGATGTTTAATAAGAAATTTAGTAAGCTTCTCAACACAATGTTTGGGCCCCAAAATTATAATGATAGAAGTTATAGGCACATTTTGTGTGTGTGTTTTTGTTTAGGTTAGATTTTCCTTTAAATTCCCGTCAAGTCAGTTTTTTTTGATTCAGAGTGAAAGTACCGCTGGGGGTCTGCAGATGTATTCTCATGGATTCAAGAGTTCTCCAGAATCATTTTAAATTTAATTTTAGGTGTTCATTTGAATGTAATAATATAAGCATATGTGACATTATGACGTGATAAGGTTTAAGTTGATTTTTTTCACTCAAATTTCTTTCCCTCCCCTGTTATGATCAGCCCATATTTGGGCCACATAACTTGAGATTGCTATTCTTTTATTGTGTGTGTGTGAGGAAGATCAGCCCTGAGCTAATATCTGCCAATCTTCCTCTTTTTGCTGAGGAAGACTGGCCCTGGGCTAACATCCTTGCCAATCTTCCTTCACTTTATATGGGACGCCGCCACAGCATGGCTTGACAAGTGGTGCATTGGTGCGTGCCTGGGATCCGAACCTGTGAACCCCGGGCCACCACAGAGGAGCACGCACACTTAACTGCTACGCTACTGGGCCAGCCCCGAGATTGCTATTCTTAATGTAAGAATTTTTCCCTGCAATTTTCAATGTAGATGAAGACCCTTCCCACTGTGGAGGATGAGGGGTTTGAAGAGGAGAGAAAAATAATTAAACGTTGGTAAGAATCTCTTTACCCTATTTCTCTTTCTCAATTAGAGTAGAGGGGGCAGTGCCCCACTTCACCTCTGGTTCCCAGAATGACAGCAGTGCCCACAGACTTCCCTCTCCCACAAAGGCACTGAAAAGCAGTGAGGAAAGGGAAAATTACCCAAGGCAAGAAGAGGTAGGCCTTGGAAAACTCAAATATTGGAACGAAAGTTTGCTGTCTAAAATGCTGGCATGGAATGATACAGTAAGAGAAGAGTAGTGTTATGAATATAATGATCATTACCACCAGTATGGGAAGGACTGTGATAACTGGGGGGCATGATGTGACCATGACATATACTAAGAGTCAATACTGAAAATATGAGGAGAGCCTTCTGCATCAACTCTGCACCATCTTCTACCTCAGGACTTAGAAATAACCCTAGTCAGGGGGCTTTTTTTAATTATTAATTGTTGCGAAAGCCACTGAGTT